CAGCAGCTGTCTCAGCCCCCGTCGTGGGCTCGTCTCCCGCCGGGTTGGCGCGGCACCTCCGTAGGTGGTGGCCGTGGTGGCGGCCCGCGTAGCTTGGCGTCTACCGGCAGCTCCGTTGGTGTGACCTGCCAGTACCAGCTTCAAACCGGGCCTCTCTGCGGCACTCTGTGCCGCCGCCCGCACCCGACCGCCTGCTGTTTCCACCGCCTCGACGATCCCTTTCGTCGTCGCTTTGGCCCGGCCCCGGACCTCCCCGACTGGCACAGCCTGCTTCGCCAGGGCGTGCCGATCTTTGATTTAGATATGGATCAGATAGGTGCTGCTTTGCATGCCTTGTATACTGACGCTTCTAGTGTTGCTGGATCTTATTACCCAGTGTACTCTAGTTTAGGTGTAGCACCCTTGTGTAGCTTAGCCTCCCCTGCTGCGTCAGGTGTAGGACTGCCTAGGTTGCCTAGCCTCGTTCCTGCCCCGGCTCCGTTCCCAGCCTCTGCTACTGCCTCGGTGTCCTTCACTCTCGACTCCGGTGCTTCTGCCTGCTTCTTCTACGACCGCTCCACGCTCACGCCGCTTGCTGCGCCTGCTGTTGTCGCACTCGTTGACCCCTCTGCGGGTCCTGTCGTCGCTCGCAGCTCCACTTCCCTTCCCTGTCCAGCCGTTCCCTCGGGCTCCCTTACATGCCTCCACGTTCCCTCGTTCTCCAGGAACTTGGTTGTTGTCGGCTGTCTTCAGGACCTCGGCGTCACCACTACGTTCCCTGGGCACGAGCGGTTCACTGTCTGTACCGAGGCTGTCTCAGGTTCCCCCCTTGCGACGTTCCCCCGGGACCCGGTGTCCGGTCTGTTTACCCTCGACACCGCTTCCCCCCCGGTTGGTGCATCCTCCGAGGTCGTTGCTGCTTGCTCGTGTCGGTCCCTCACTTACCCGTCTCTTTTGTGGCACCACCGCTTAGGTCACCCTGCTCTCCCGCGTCTGCGTCACATGTCTCAGCACGGTCTTGTCTTCGGCCTCCCCGCGTCGCTCCCCGCACTTCCCCCCTCGACTGCGCCACCGTGCATGCCTTGCGTCGAGGGCCGTCTCCGCCGTGCCCCTCACTCCTCCTCGCTTCGCCCTGCTACTGCTCCCCTTCAGACCCTGCACCTGGACATTTGGGGCCCAACCCCTGTCCCCGGACCGCACGGTGAGCGCTACTTCCTTGTGCTCATGGACGACTACACGCGCTACACCACGGTGTTTCCCCTGGAGCGGAAGGCCGACGAGCCCGACGTTCTTCTACCGTGGGTTGTGGCTGCGCGTCTTCACCGCAGTCTCCCCGTGTTGTGTCTCCACTCTGAACGTAGCGGCGAGTTCGCCTCTGGTCGGCTTGGGCAGTTTTGTCATGCGGAGGGCATCACCCAGTCGTACACCTTGCCGGACTCGCCACAGCAGAATGGGGTTGTTGAGCGCGGGCATCGGCTTGGTCATGGAGGTTGCTCGCACCTCCATGATTCATGCCGATGCCCCCCATTTTCTGTGGCCGTTCGCTGTTCGCTACGCTGCTCACCAGCTTAACTTGTGGCCCCGCTCCCAGCGGCCGCAGGTTTCGCCGACCCTACTTTGGACCGGGTCCCCCGGTGACGCGTCTGCGTTCCACGTCTGGGGTTGCCTTGCTCACGTTCGTGCCTCTGGCACGGACAAGCTCACTGCCCGCACTGTCCCCTGTGTTTTCCTCGAATTCCCCCTGGACTCGTCTGACTGGCTCTTCTACCACCCGCAGTCTCACCGCTTCCTCCACTCTCGTAACGTGACCTTAGACAAGTCTGTCTATTTCTACCGTCGCTTCCCTCACCGAGCTCTCCCACTTTCCCCCCCCCTGTTCCTTACTCCCTCTCCCCCGATAGCCCCTCCTCCTCTCCCGCCTCGTCCTGCCCCGTCTGGCGTCTCTCATGTCACTCCCCTTCCGTCGGTTGTCCCCGTTGAGGAGTCTGCTGACTCTGGTGGTCCCCTTGGCCCATCCTTGCCGCGTCCCCCTTCCCCGGTGTCTTTGCCCCCCCTGTCGCAGTCGCCGCCGCCGTTGCAGCCGCCGCCGCCGCTGCGCCTCTGGGGTTGCTGGCGTTGAGGAGGGTTTTCGTCCTGCGGCTCCTTGCGTGGTCTGTCCCGGCGGGACTGGGGGTGCCGCTGGTGCTGGACGGGGTTCTCGCTCTGAGGGTGTTGGTTCTGGGGGTGCTGCCGTTGAGTGTTCTCCCGGTGGTCGTCGTGCCCCTGCCGGTCCGCGGGTCGAGCACCAGTCGCAGCAGCAGCCGCAGCAGCCGTCGCCGCCGGTTTTCGCTCTTCGCCTGCTCGGCCTTCCCTCCCCTGACCGCTCGCCGATGTCTCCCCCACCACCTTCTGACCTTCCTGTCTACGGCCTTGTGTTCCCGCCGCCGGACTCGTCTCCGGCCCGTCTTCCTCCGCGTTCCCCTTTTGTGCCTCCTCCTCTGTCTCCTGACCCTACACCTCCGTCCCACGTCTGGTCTCGCCGTCCCTCCCGTGCTCGTCCCGTCTCTCCTGTCCCGCGCTCTCACGCTATGTTGCTCCGTTCCCACTCGTCTCGTCCTCCCCTCCTCCCGTCGCCTCCTCCCTCGTCGCTTATTGTTGCACCTCCCCCGCTGTCTGACTACCTTCGTGCCGCTCGTCCCCTTGTCCCTCGGGTTCTTGCCTCTCTTGTTACCGACCCGTCTGTTCCTGTCTCGCGTCTTGACGCGCTTGTCACTGCTGTCACTGACTTCGCTTCTACCCACCGCCTTGACTACGCTACCGCTCTGGTCTCTGACACTGCCCATCCTCTGTCCGTCGGGGGTGCACCTGCCCTTGGCAGTGACGTTCTAGAGGATAGGCAGTACGAGCTTGCTTTCCTGTCCGAGGCTGCTCCCCATCTCTATTCCATACTGCTAGTCCCAGAGGGTGACCCAGACGCTTTCAACATCCCGACCCCTCGCACTTATGCTGAGGCGGTCTCGGGACCTTGGGCCTCTCGGCGGATAGCTGTCATGGAGCAGGAGATGGCATCTTGGAGATCCACCGGCAGCTACATCGACGCAGTTCCCCCACCTGGGGTGAACATAGTCGATGGTCGCTGGCTCTTCAAGGTGAAGCGCCCTCCTAGAGAGCCGCCTGTGTTCAAGGCGCGCTACGTGGTTAGAGGTTTCAGTCAGCGTGAGGGGGTGGACATTTTCCAGACCTTCGCTCCGACCCTGAAGATGACTACTCTTCGGGTGCTGCTACACGTAGCAGCACAGCGTGACTACGAGCTTCACTCCCTCGACTTCTCCACTGCGTTCCTTCAGGGCAGTCTACACGAGCAAGTCTACCTACGCCGCCCTCAGGGTTTCACTGGCACCTTCCCTCCTGGGACCCAGTGGCTCCTGCGGCGCCCCGTCTACGGCCTGCGGCAGGCTCCCCGTGAGTGGCACGACACGCTACGTGCTACCCTTGCTGACCTGCAGTTCTTTCCGTCCTCTGCAGACCCCTCGCTCTTCGTTCGTGCTGGCCAGACTCCGTTCTACATTCTTGTTTACATAGACGACCTGGTCTTCGCCACTGCTGACAGGGACGCACTGGCCTCGGTGAAGGCAGAGCTGCTGAAGAAACACACTTGCACTGACCTAGGAGAGCTGCGCCGTTACCTTGGCTTGCAGATCTCCAGAGACAGCGGCGCGCACCATCACCCTCACTCAGTCACACTTGGTGCGCCAGGTTCTTCAGAGGTTCGGCCTTCAGTTCTCCTCTGCACAGCCCACCCCTCTGCCTGTAGACCACAGACTCTCTGCTCTAGTTCCTGAGGAGCCAGTAGAGCCCAGTGGCCCTTACGTAGAGCTGGTGGGTTGCCTCATGTACCTGATGACTTGCACTCGCCCAGATCTCGCATACCCTCTCAGCATCTTGGCTCACTTTGTGGCCACAGGCAGACACCGACCTCAACACTGGTCTGCCGCTAAGAGGATTTTGCGTTATCTTGCAAGTACATCAGGCATGGGGTTAGTGCTTGGAGGGCGCAGGCCAGTGGTCCTTACTGGGCACACAGACGCTTCGTGGGCAGACGACGCCGAGACCCTTAGGTCCTCGCAAGGCTACTGGTTTAGCCTTGGTTCAGGTGCTCTCTCTTGGAGAGCTACTCGCTCCTCGTCTGTTGCACAGTCTAGCTGCGAGGCCGAGATCTACGCCGGTGCCATGGCGGCACAGGAGCTCCGCTGGCTGACCTTCTTGCTCACTGACTTAGGTGAGCGGCCTAGCTCTGCCCCGGTCCTGTATGCTGACAACAGGGCCATGATCCTCCTGTGTTAGGAGCCGCGACTCGAGGGCAGAGCGAAGCACATCCAGCTGCGGTACTTCCTCCTGTGTGAGCTACAGCAGCGCCGCCAGGCCCGCGTAGTCCACTTTGCCTCCGGTGCCAACACAGCTGATATCTTTACGAAGGCGATTGCGCCTAAAGATCATCAGCGGCACTGTGTGCAGCTTGGTCTTGTTCCTGTAGCTGCTCACGTGTTAGGACCCTAATTGTGTACTCTCTACTATATATACCTGTCAGACTGGCCTTGTGGCCTTGCCTCCAGTGGTTGGACTAGTAGTGCCGTCCTGGTTTGCTTTAGTCTTGTTTGTACTCTTGCTGACTGGTCTCCAGGCCCCTGTCTCAGTGGTTGGACTAGTAGTGCCTCCCTGAGCTGTGTGCTTCTTGCTTAGCATCACCCCTTCTCTAGCCTAGGGGGTGTGTCAACTTATACATGTGATGCATGTAGAAGTTATAGGCTAGCCTAGGTGTGTGCTTCTAGTGAGTACAACCCCAACAGGTATATGTTCTAGGTTTCTCACACTAGTTCATTATTCTTGCATTCTAACATGCCATTCCATTCAACAACACTACCACATGCTACACCTCAAACAGATGTAGAAAGCCATGCTGTACCATATGCTAGCAACTGGAAGTGCACTTCGCGATTTACTTTCTGTTCACGACATTCAATGTGCTACGAGCTACGGGACAGGCTCAGTCCAACAACAAATATAAAATCAAATGGAGGCAAATACAAATATCAGCAAGTCCTAAAAGAGCAAGACGAAAACAAATACTAGGCCGACAGCTGGATGCCGCTGGCAATAGAATAGTTCTGCAGGCAAGCCTGTGGACGAATCAGCCTCACGCCTGCACACAAAAAGCTGGCTGCATCGATATGACAATGTAGTCACTGAAAAAACCTTCTTCGCCCCTTACCACTGTCCGAGCATTGCCACCCCTGCATCTCAGAAGCAAGGCACACTGCCAAAACCGTCCACCCCCCAGTTTCATCCATCCCGAGCCAAACCCATCAAAACTCTCAGCGCCATTCGCTGCCAAACCCTCACACCCATCTGCCAGCAACCCTTCAGCTCCATCCCCTGGCAGGCAGCCCCACCTGGTGCCTGGCCAAAGCCAGCAGCCCCACCCGGTAATTGCCCCATGCTCCCAGCAGCCCCATGCCCATCTCTGACTAGGCTCTGCACCCACCGCAGACCCGTCTCCTGCACCTCCTCCCACTCCTTAGACTCTCACTCGGGCAAACAATCAGTGCCATCCCCAAACCCCCGGCTCCAGCAGCCCCACCCCCATCCCTGACAAGGCTATGCACCCACCCCACATCCGTCTCCTGCACCTCCTCCCACCCCTTAGACTCTCACTCCCTTTCTCTGCCAAATGATTGTACCATCCCCTACAAACCCCGCCTGGCGCCTGCCCCATACTCCCAGCTTCAACATCCCCACCCCCATCCCGGACTAGGCTCTGCACCCACCCCACATCCGAGGTGAGCTTTAAGTCGACTCAAAATCACCTCAGTTCCATACCCTGGCAACTGGTGCCCGCCCCATACTCCCCAGCAGCCCCAGCACCACCCCATCCCTGACTAAGCTCTGCACCCACCCCTCATCCGTCTCCTGCACCTCCTCCCTCCCCTCAGAATCTCAGTCCCATCCTTTGGCACACCCTCAGTTCCATCCCCTAGCAGCCCCACCTGCTGCCTGCCCCATGGCCCCAGCACCCCCAGCCCCACCTCCATCCCTGACTAGGCTCTGCACCCACCCCACATCCGTCTCCTGCACCTCCTCCCTCCCTGTCCCCCCTATAAAGTTATTCCCTGCTGCCTTAGGAAGCCCGATCCCCTGCTGAGAGGGCATGTCTGGCTGGGCTGGCAGCATGCGGGGCTCATATGTGGGGATAGAGTGCACTGACTGCCAGTTGGGGAGGCCTGAGGGGGAGCCCCACACGGCGTGATGGGAGGAGGAGGCAGTGGGAGTGCTGGTGAGGGGATTCCCTGACTGCTGCTGCTGCTGCTGCTGCTGCTGCTGCTGCTGCTGCTGCTGATATTGCAGGGGCTGCTGCTGCTGGTTCTGCTGCTGCTGCAACTGCTGACGAAGGCCACTGTTCATGCGGAATTGAGACACCACGGCCTGAGATGGGGACATGGGCGGGAACCCACGGCCCTCCATGTGGCCTAAATACGCCGACTCTAGATTCGGCTGGGGTTGGGGGGAGGACGAGAGTGCATACGGCCGTTCGCTCTCACTCCTGAACTGCTGCTGCTGGTGCTGCTGCTGCTGGTGCTGCTGCTGCTGGTGCTGCTGCTGCTGCTGCTGCTGCTGCAGTTGTCTGATCAATTGCTCTGCCCTCCCAACCGAACCGTCCCGAAACATGCTAGCAGGCCCGGCGCCAGGCCCGGCGCCATACCTCGGAGACTGGCTCGGCGACGGCAGGGGAGCAAACATTCCCCCATCAGGCATCCCCATACCAGCGTCGCTACCAGCGCCGCCATAGCCTCTAGCAGCAGCAAGCGAGGGGCTGGAGGAACCGCTAAGAGGGCCCAGGCGAGGGGCGTCCCCTGAGAGAGTCATGCCTATTCGCCCTGGACTGGACGGAATACTGCCCATGCCAACATTTGCTACACTGCCACTGCCCACCCCTCCGCCACCCACACTCCCCATACCCATACCGCCACTCCCCATACCCCCAACACCACCCCCCACGCTGCCCATATCCCCACTAATGACGTCTGGTCGCAGGGGACTGAACAGCTGCTGACCGCCGCCTCTACCAGGGCCGGGGGACGGGGTGTCCTGCAGCTGGTAGTTAATGCCCATGGGCCGGTTGAGGGACATTTCGCCAAGCTCTGCGGTCATACGTGCTGCGCCCAGGTCAGCCCTTGCTATGGACTCGAGGTGGTCTTGGAGTATGTGCTGCGGAGGGGAGTGGTGCTGCAGCTGCTGCTGCCGCTGCTGCACCTTCTGATGCTGCTGCTGGTGTTGCTGCTGGTTCCAATACCTTGGCTGCTGCTGCTGCTGAGCCATCTGCTCCTGTTGTTGTTGCTGCTGCTGCTGCTGCTGCTGCCAGCGCTGCTGTTGCTGTTGTTGCTGCTGCTGCTGCTGCTGTTGATGCTGTTGATGCTGTTGCTGCCGCTGCTGCAGCGTCCCTCGAGAAAGAGGGGAGTTCTGCTGCTGTTGCTGCTGCTGCTGCTCCTGCTGCAAGGACGCCTCCAGCGCCTCTAGCGCCTCTTCAGTCTCCTCCGGAATCGTCAACTCGCGCGCGTTTAGCGCCGCGCGGAGGCGCATCAGATTCACCCCCGACGACAAATTCAGCTGCGGAGCTCCCCCGTGCGCCCCCACGCCTCCCCCCATCCCTCCGCCTCCCCCCGCGCCCGCGGACTGATTCCCCCCCGACACGCAATTCCCGGCGGCGGAAAACGAGGCGACGGCGGGGGAAATGGGGGTGGTGGGGGAGGAGTTGCTCGCGCTGTGCGGCGCAAACTGAGACAGCATGCGGACGGAGGAGGGGGAGGGCGGGGGGAGGTCCGCGGAGGCGGTAACTGCGCGCATGTCCGCGGGGGAGTGCGCGAACATGTTGGCGGAAGTTGAACCCGTGGCGGGGCTCTGCAAGGGGCGGAGCTCCTCTGAGGTATGCGCGAAGAAGCACACGCGGCGGGAGCAGCTGGTGCCGTCCTTGCAGAGCCTGTAATGGGGTGGAATGGGGGTGGGGGTTGAGGGGAAGGGGGGGAGATTCGTGGGAGAACTGTTAGCGCGGCAATGCAAGGAGCGGAGCTCCTCGGATGCGTGCGCGAAGAAGCACACGCGGCGGGAGCAGCTGGTACCTTCCTTGCAGAGCCTGTAATGGGGTGGAGAGGGGGGGAGAAAAGGGGGGAAGAAGGGGAGGAGATTGGAGGAAGAACATATTAGTGGTAGGTTTTTTAAAATTCTCAAAAAGCACACGCGGCGGGAGCAGCTGGTACCGTCCTTGCAAAGCCTGATAATGGGGTGGAAGGGGGGGGAAGGGGGGGGAAGGGGGGGAAAGGCGGGAAGGGGGGAAAGGGGGGGAGATTCGTGAGAGAAGGGGCGGAGCTCCCTCGGAGGTGAGCGCGAGGAAGCACACGCGGCGAGAGCAGTTAGTACCGTCCGTGCAGAAACTGATGTTGGGAAGAGCTTGGGAAGAAATAGGAGACATATCAGAGTTTTCTTCTCCCTCTCGCTCGCGTCTTTTCCTTGCGAGATATCAGGTCTAATGTAAAGAGCCGGTGATGGGAGAAGAGCGACGGACGGGACAAGCGAAGAAAGGGATGAGGGGGTTCTGGCATACGGTCAAACGGCGGCACATGGAGGAGAAAGGGAAGGGAGAGACTTCGAAAGGTGAAGGAATCTAGGAGCGGATAGGGGCGACGATAACAGAGGAATGCACAGACAAGGGGGACCAGGAATGCAGTGAGAAGTTCAAGCAGATTTGTTCAGAAGCGGAGGAGTGTGATGCGGAAAGCCATAACAGGTTAGGTACTGCGCAGGTAATTTTTTTTTCGATCCGACTAAGAAAACCGCAGGTGGGAAAGCAATAGCTGGTTCGATATTGCGCGAAATGCAGCCGGCATTAAAACACGCCGTGCGCGTACTCGCACGAGTCCCCTCGCCTGCACGACCCCTTCCCTTTGATTTGACTGGAAAACCATACCTGGTTCGGTACTGCGCGGGGTGCAGCCAGCACTCAAACACGCCATGCGCATACTCGCACGAATCCCCTCGCCTGCACGATCCCTTCCGGAAATCCGGGCACGGCACGCAGCTGTAGTGAAATTTCCGCGGGTCTCTCCGCCGGGCGTTCTCCCCCGGGTGCACGAACGGGCACTCGGTCCAGTCATGGCTGTACGCCCTTGAGCACGGTCGAATCTTAAAGCTGTAGATCCGAAACTCGTCTGATGCATACACGCTGCTTTTCATATCAGTCATGGAGGAATCGACCACACCCGCGCCAGTAGACGGAGTGGTCGGAGGGAGTACGTCTAGGCCGGTGGATCCTGAGGATAGATCGCTGCTGCTGGAGGTTGCTGGTGAGAGGATGTTAGGCGATGCAGAGTGGGAGTTAGGAGATGACGGAGACTCGAACGGCGGTGACGTGGACGCCGTTGATTGGACGATGATGAACGGAGATGGACGGTGATAAATCGGGTCCGGACCGGAGCATGTGGAGGATTTGAGGAGCCGCTCCAGCGCGGACTTAACGTGAGGGAGCTTCGGTGAGACGGAGATGACGTCGACTGGACGTTTTCCGTCACGGTCAACGGCATCTTTGTCGGCGCCGTGACGGAGGAGGAGGGAAACCACCTCTACTGCTCTCGGGCTTCCACCCAGCGCTGCACAATGGAGAGCCGTGCTACCGTCAGACGGACTCGCCTGGTTAATGCTACACTCTATAGCGTGGCTCCGTCCTTCAATAAAAATATAAGATAAAATATCCAGGCTGCCAAATAGGCATGCTATCATGGTGGGGGTTCTCTGAGCGAGAGCCATTCTGGTGGACCCATTCTGACGGCAGTACCATGACTCGCATTCAGTCAATGACTTACGTAAGATTTCTACGCCTCGTCTGAAGGCATCTATGTCGTTGCTCGCGGCTAACTCCAGCAAGCTAAAATCCTCGTTCTCGTAAATAGACGCAGTAGAACCCGTATTCGTCGCGTTAGTACCCATCGTTGAATAAGTAAATGAAGAGGAATCAATAGGACAGCCACAACACATGACTGAAACCCTAAAAGCCTAACTAAGAACAAACCATGATTGCGAACCTAGAAGCCTATCTACGTCCGACGGACACAACGAGATGCAAAAAGGAAACAGTGAAATGGCAAGAACTGGATACAGTACTTGAACTGGATTCACTGCAGCACCGGAAAGGAGCAGGAGAGAGAGGAAAGGAAAGTCCCCCACCTCCCAGGCCCAGTGATTCCCCCAATTGACCAAGATCCCAAGGGAGGCAAGTGAATGGCAGCACAGTTCTGAAGGAAGCACCGAATACCGAAGGAAGTTCCCGAATACCGAGGGAAGTTCCCTGATACCGAGGATGAAGTTCTCAGGCAATGACACGGCAACGTGTCAGGCATCGGACAATTCGGTATTCTTTCAGATGCCCGAAACAGAAGTGATTGGGGGACGGCGTCCGACGGCAGCTAAAAAGGGTCCAGTACAGCTGGATTGAAGAACGGTGATTAGACAGTTTGTGGGGTAGATGGGAACGAAGTTTGGCAACAAGGATCAGCTCAGTCTATGGAGTTTGGTGGAGCTGCCCCGATTCAGGGAAATCGACGGTGGTGTGCGGACGTGGTTGACAGATTCAGCACAGCCAAAAACATCACCAGCACATCGCATGGCCAAGCTGCTGATGCCGAGCGAGCAAACCAGGGGACTCAGTTAAAGCCCGCTGCCCAAATTGTTCATACGCAGTGCTTTGCTTATGAACGTGAGCAGTGGTTTTAGCAAATTCAGAGAAAATACCGTAATCCCCCGTATATAACACCCGCCGAAATAGTCACTCCAAGGGTGGTTAACGGGGGGGGGGGGGAGCTTATGATACCGTGCATTTTTTAGAGCACCCGTTTTTTCTGACATTGAATTTAACATAACACCCGCGTTTTATTCGTCTTAAATTGTATTTGCTCCTGTATTACAAGGTTCGCTCCGCTGCAAAAACAGAGCAGGATGAAATTGCGCGCCAACAACCATTAGCACCGGAAAACTGGGCAGAAATATCAACAAGTTGCTGCGTGGAATCGAATCCCTAGCAAGGTCGAGAGGATCTTGACCGCCCAAATCGAAATGGGGAATCAAATTGTTGGGAATCGAATTGTGGGGAAGGAGGAATCGAATGGTGGGGGAAGGGGGAATCGGAATTTTGGGGGGAGAGCGGCTACAGGTTAAGCTGGTGAGCGGCGTAGCAAACAAAGAACGGCCACAAAAAACGGGGTGCATCGGCATCGATGATGGAGGTACGAGCCACCTTCATGACCAAACCGGTGCGTCGCTCAGCGATCCGATTCTGATGGGGGAATCCAGCAGGGTGTACGACTGGGTGATGCCCTCTGCACGACAGAACTAGCCAAGCTGACTGGAGGCGGACTCGCCGCCACGGTCAGAGTGAAGACGCAGCACATGGAGGCCGCGGTGGACGCGCGTAGCTACAACCCACGAGATAAGAACATCAGGCACGTCGGCCTTACGCTCCATTGGAAACACCGGGGTGTAGCGCGTGTAGTCGTCGACAAGCACTAGAAAGTAGCGCTCTCGGTGCGGCCCAGGGACGGGGGCTGGGCCCCAAACGTCCAGGTGCAGGTTCTGGAGTGGCGTAATGGTAGGGGGAAGTGAGGAGGAGTGAGGAGCACGATGCAGCCGGCCCTCGATACAGGGCGTGCACGGTGGTGCAGGCGAGGGAGGGAGGGCAGGGAGTGACACAGGGAGACCTAAAACAAGACCGTGATGGGACATGTGACGCAGACGCGGGAGTGCGGGGTGACCTAGGCGGTGGTGCCAAAGTAGCGACGGGTGGGTCAGCGTCTGATACGAGCAAGCCACAACAACCTGGGGGGACACGGTGATCTGGGGGGATGCTCTCACGGGGGGGTACGCGGTGTCTAAGGTGAACAGACCAGACACTAAGGTCCCGGAGAAACGTGGTGAGAGCGGCACCGGTGGAGGCCTCGGTACGGACTGCGTACTGCTCGTGTCCAGGAAACGTAGTGGTGATGCCGAGGTACTGAAGACAGCCAGCACCAACTAGGTTCTTGGAGAACAAGGGGATGTGCAAGCCTGTAAGAGAGCTCGAGGGAACCACCTGACAGGGAAGGGTAGTGGAGCTACAGGCAACTATCGGATCTGAGGAGGGGTCAGCAAGCGCTACAGCAGCAGTGACAGCAAGCGACGTGAGTGCAGTGCGGTCGTGAAAGAAGCAGGCAGACGCACCACAGTCTGACGTGAACAAGAGCGCGGCGGTAGCGGCCGCAGGCGGAGGAGCTAGAGTGGAGCGGAGGCTAAACAAGTCAGGAGCGGTGCTGCGACTGATGTTGCTGAGCTGCTACTGCTGCTGCTGCTCTGGGGCATCAGCCCCGGTCCCCGTCTGCACCATCGTCCCTTCCCCCACCTCCACCAACCCCACCCCGCCCACCACCCCAGCCACCCTTCCCTCTGCCACGCCCCCCTTTGGGGTGGCGGCCCTTACCCTGACGCGGTTGTGCTGAGGCCGCGGCGGTGATCTCAGCAGCAAGGGCTGTCTCAGTGACAACGGCGGAAACGTCATATTAAGTGCACTGAGAGGGAGCACAGCCCTAGAAGATAGGGACCGCCGCAGTACTGCTAGACTGAGGGATAGTGCGCTGGCGCGTCTCAATCGCAGACAGGGCTGTAACAAAGGCGGTAAGGGTGAGGTCACCGTGGTGCTGACTAAGGAAGTGGTTGAGGGCAGTGGCTGGGCGGTCAGGAAGGCGCGTGGGAATGAGGTAAAGGGTAGCGCAAAGCCATTGCGGGAAGGCTGTGAGCTGTGCCTCAGTGCTAGCGGCGCGGTAGCTAGTCTCAAGTACGCAAAGGTGAGTGGCGAGGTCAGCGACAGTGGGGAAGGACGCAAGATCAGAGAACAACACGGGGAGGATCAGGCGGCCCGCAGAGGCTGAGGAGGGAGTAGAATGGCATGCAATGACCGCATCTAAGTTTTCCTTCGCATTGGCTACAGTGCGGGGACGCTCAGACAAGGGGAGGGCATGACTAATAGCAAGCTGGGCGTCTGCGTCGCATGATTTCCAGACAGCGCGGGTAAGCTCAGCAGTGGCAAAGGCCTCACGTTCAGCAGACGTGGGGGCAGCAGGGAGGGCAGCAGGCGCATTGGGGTAGGGGAGCTTACCATCGACATGGACAGCCAGGGAATGGTCGACTTGGTGCTGGCCTATCAGCCGGCGGTGGAGGACGACAAGCCACACCTCAAAATCATTCGCCCGACCCTCCGCGTCCAGGCGGAGCAGAGAGTCCGCCATCATCACGCCTGCAACAGCTAACTGCCGCTGGAGGGGGAGGAGAGCGACGAAGAGCGGTGGAGAGCAGTGGAGAGCGGCGGAGAGCGGTGGAGAGCGGGTAGAGAGTGGTGGAGCGCGGTGGAGAGCTGTGGAGTGCAGTGGAGAGCAGTGGAGACAACCGGCGGTAGCGCCGGCGCAGAGGGGGGCCAAGGCCGGCGGGTCGGAGCGGCAGAGCGGCTCAGCGACACGGCGTCACGGCGGCATGGTTCGGCGGAAGCTAGGGCCGGCACTGGCTGGGGCCGGCAGAGCTGGAGCCTGCAAAGCTGGGGCCGGCGGAGCTTGGGGTCGGCAAGAGAGGGGCCGACGGGCGCGGGGCCAGCTAGCTAGGGGTCGGCGAGCAGGGGGCCGGCAAGTGCGTTGCCAGCGAGCGCGGGGCCGGAAAGCGCGGGGCCAGCGAGCGCGGGCCAACGGGCGCGGGGCCAGCGAGCGCAGGGCTGGCGGGTGCGGGGCTAGCAAGCGAGGGGCCGGCGAACTCGGGGCTAGCGGGCGCGGGGTTGGCGAACGCAAGGCCAGCGGGCACAAGGCTAGCTAGCGAGGGGCCGGCGAACGCAGGGCCAGCGACCGCGGGGCCGGCGTGGCGGGGCCGACGCGCGGGGCCGTAAAGCGTGGGCCGGCGGGCAGCGGGCCGGTGACGAGCGAGGGCCGGCGCGCTAGGGCCAGCGAGCTAGGGTCGACGGGCTCGGGGCTATGGGCGGTACGTGGCGAGCAGGCCCGGGAAGGGGAACCACGAAAGCTAGGTAGCTAGGAACGGAATGAAGCCATGGAATGGCGTGAGGGTTTAGGAGCTAGGAGAGAAATTTGACTAGAGAAAAGAGGAGGAACTAGAAGAGAGAGAGGCATACAAAGAGGGAGTTGTACCCTCTACAGTAGAGTCGATAAACCTACCAAGCCTACCAATTATATAACAAAATATATAATTCGACGTGGCAAAATCAAGTGGGGCCCAATTCGACGTGGCAAAATCATGTGCCACGTCGTCAAGTCCACGACGCGTTACGCTGTACGAAAATTGCAAGGCAGAAATATGTTAAATCATGTATATATATATATAATTGTAGGCTTGGTAGGTGTTACTAGATCCTACTGTAGAGGGTGCAACCCCCTTCTTGTATCCCTCTCTCTTCTAGTCCAAACCCTTGTCTCTTTCAACATTTTCTCATAGCCTAAAACCTCTCGCTACTTTCCTATGCCTAGCTCCTAACCTAAGCTGTCTTGAGATGGTTTCAGTCATAAAGTCACCAGTCCTAACCACTGGAACAAGAAGGGATGTCATCAGGAGTGTTAGGCTCCATATATCCACCTTCCCCGATGAAAGCCTCCCCATTATCCTCCCTAGAGATAGAGAGATGATCGACAGGGTTATCCCAATGCCACGACACTATCAGAGCAGGAGGTCCTTCCTGCTGGGCCATCTCATCATGTTTCCGCAGCGTTCTCTCCCTCCTCTCCTCACTTCCGCGCCGCTGTGGCAGCCATGACGTGCTACCATGGCGGCTTCGTAGAGCTACCGTGGCAGTCTCGACGCGCTGCCATGGCGTCGACGCGCTGCCGTGGCGTCGGCGCCACGCCGTGGCGGCGTCGTCGAGCTGCCGTGGCGTCTTCGACGGGCGGCAGCGGGCCGCGCAATGTTTTAGCGCCGGCCAGTTCGCCCGCACGCTAGCCAGCGCCGCCTCGCTGCAGCTTCGCCCCCCTCTCCTCTGCATTGCCCTTTCTTCCCGTCGCAGTCGATGGCTGTCTCGCCCCTTGCGGCCCCGCCGTTGCTGAGCCGGGCCA